TAGTTTTAAAAATTTTTAACTTTTATTCTTCTTAGCCTTTGGCCCTCTCAATAAAAATTGGCTAGCTCTGTCCCTGTACTAGCTTAACCTTGAAAAGCTATTTATGGGTTAGTTAAGCTTTTGAAAAACCATTGTTGTAAGGGTTATCACTTGATTTCACAAAAAAGTCATTGTGAGAGTTATCGCTTGATCCTTTTAAAAAACAAGAATCCCTTTGTTGATTGTGTAAAGGTTATCGCTTGATCTTGTAAAAAACAAGTGTAAAGGTTATCACTTTATCTCATTAAAAAGTAAGAATACTTTTAGTAGATTGCAAATTCCTTGGTTGCGAGGGCAATGGATGTAGTAACCAAAAAGTCGAACTACTACAATATCTTTGTGTCTTTTTTTAATTTTTTGCATTATTATTCATTGTTTCCATTTGCTCTAGGAAAATAGCTTTGTATTGATTTCTATTTAAAATTTACCTAAACATAATAGCCTAACCCTTTGCCTAAAGACTATAGGGCAATTCTTTTAGAGTTTATTAATTTAAAATTGAAAATAACTGTTATTTCAATGCCAAATATTATACTTAATTAATGGACTTATCGATATTGAAAAAACCTTTCCCTGGTTGGATTGAAGGCGTGAGGTAATTATAATGAAAGAAAATAGTAGTCTTCAATATTGAAAAGTTCTTTCATTAACTTTTTCTTGTTGCATAACTATTGATAGAGTAATTGTTGGTGAGTATACTGCATGCTTATTATTGCTCTATTTATTTCACATTATTGGTTAAACTATGCAATTAGTTCATATACTCTATCAAAGTGTTGGATTTAATTCATGTATAACAATTTGTAAAAATTGAGTCCTTATACTTTCTCAAATTGACAATGCAATCGAATCATTAATAATATTAAACTTTTTTTTATTATCTATATTGACATAGTATTTGATTGTACAGATGTAGCATTTTCTTGCTACTGTGGCATTAAATCAAATGATGTGGTGATAATGATGGGGCCAACAAAGTGGCATTTCATCTTGCAGTTAATTAGTAATAACAATGGTATTATTTGAGAAGAATGGAATTGATTCAATGATAAAGGAAAGCTTTAGAGAAAAGAAAAGGGCATTGCTCTGCATTTTATTAAAGTTTCCCATATTTGAATTCTAAATCACTATAAAAAATTAGCATTCATTATGTGTAAATTGACAAAAACACAGTATCAGTAACAAAATAATGCCACATCAACATCACTTCAATACTTAAAATTTATGTCTATGTTTGATCAACGATTCAATAGTATAGTCATTGCATTATTCTTGAATGTTACATTAGCAATAATATGCCATATCAATACAATCAAATATCATGTTAGTATAGATAACCGAAGCTATTTAACATTGTTAATGATTGAACTGACATTATTAATTTTAAAAAGTAAAAGGACTCAATTTTTATAAATTATTATATGGAATTAAATCTACTACTTTAATAGAATTGAAAGACTAATTGCATAATTTAAACTAAATCATTAATTTAAAGAATCAAATTTTCTACCCTATAGAACCTTCATTATCTAACCTCATTTGGGCTAAATATATATATATATATATATATATATATAGAATAAAGTCCTCAATAAATTTCCTTACCCGATGTGGACTTTTTTTTTTCTTTTTCTTATTTTTAACTTAAACAAATTTGGTGGTGCATTTTCTACTAAGGGGGGCAATTTTCCTATTTAAAACCCATTTAGCATAGCTCTTTGCCTAAAGAGTATAGGATAATTCTTTTAGAGTTTATTAATTTAAAATTGAAAGTAGTTGCTAGTTCTATGCCAAACATTCACTACTAAAAAACAAGCGTTTTCCGACGAAATTTTTCTTTGGAAAAAGTTAAAATTCCATTGGAAATGCTTTTTTTCAATGGATTTTCAAGGAAAAATTCTATTAAAAATTTCATCGGTAAAAGCATAGTCGGAAAATACTTTCCGTTGGAAATCTGTTGAAAATTTTCAATGAAAAATTTCGTTGTAAAATTTCATCGAAAAAAATATATAATCTGTCGACCGTCTAGTATCAATTTCTGAACAAAATTTTCGTTGGAAATGTTTTTCTAACAGAATTTCGTTGGAAATTTTCAATAGAATTTTTCATTGGAGAAGCATTTCCAATGAAATTCAATTGGAAAAGCATTGCTTAAGAAATTCCGTTGAAAAATTTCCCATAGAATTTCCGTCGAAAATACTTTTCCAACGAAAAATTGCATTGAAAATTCCATTAGTAATATGCCTTTCCAATGAAATTACTAACCAAAATTTCGGTAATAAATTATCAATTGAATCCACAATTCACACTCAAAATTTATAAGAAAAATACGTATTAAAATCAAAAATTCAAAATCAAGTTCATGCAATTAAAAATCATCGTAAACACATAACACCTAAAATTGTCAAACAAATATAAACATAAAGCTAAATATATTATTGTAATGCTAGACCAGGCCCTCTACCCCATTTGAACTGCCTTCTAAGATTGAGCCTTCCACATTTGAGCCTCCATTGAATGCAAATGTTTGCCTTGCAAGGTTTTGTCCCAACCTTTGCTCCTTAGCAGTCATCCTCCTCCTGTACCACAATTTGAAGCCACAACCAATAAATGGATAAACCATGAAAGCAAAACACTTAGACTAAATTGGCTATTTAGTGTAACCTCCAATTTGAAAAGGAAATTCTTAAGTAAAGGCTATTTCAGTTGAAATAGAAGTAACAGTTTGGTGTTAATCTCCTATCTTAAGAGTTTGTTTGACTCCATGTATCAATTTCAGTTGAAGTGGAACCACAACCATACACAACAATTATACATTGAGTAAATATTAAAAGTTCAATAAAAAGGTAACAGACATTAAAAACCCAGCAGTTTTAACAGTTTTGCCAAATTAAATCACCTCTTATATTTTGATGGGGCTAAAGAACCTATTATTTGCAAACTTTTATAGAAGTAAAATTATTGAAGGATATTTGTGCACATTCCAAAAATTACATCTCTGAAGCATATATGATTATATCAATAAAGATAGTTGAGAAGATAAAAATAAACAATCAATGTAATAAGAATAAACAAATCTTACTTTGTTAGCTCTTTAGCCTCATCAATGACATGGTCATATTCATCTACATATTAAAATCTCAAAGTAAATGAAACTTTCTTACCATAAATGCATCAGTTATATTGAAAGCAAACTGAGTCAAAGAGAAGAAACTAAAAAATTCCTATATTCATCAGCAATAGTAACAAGCTCTCTTACAAATGCAAACTTCAAGCATTTAAAAATCAGTTTTGTCACATTTTACATGATAAAACAGATCATAAGTCAATCAATATGAATTTAATAAGAAAAAGTGCTACAGTTTAGCTAGACTAACGGCATAACATCAGTAAACCACTGTAACGATCGCTACCGGCATCCAAGTCTTGCGGGAGAACCCGCCAAGTCTCAAACAAGCCTTACTTAAAATATTAGTCATTACCTCATATTCATACCATCAATTTAAGAAAATTTCCTTGAACCATAAAACTCTTTGTAACAAGAATTGAACAATAATCTTTATAAATTGAATAAACCTTTATTCCACATAATTGTAAAAATAATACATCATGACTTATAATTTCTAAATGTACATTTGTATTGACACAATTGTCTATTCCTGTAACAAATTATACAATGACAACTCGACCTCTAGCAGCGGAGTGACTCAGAATAAAGTGCTATGAGATGCCTTTACCTATCCGCGATGGGCTAAAAATGTCGATGAATGCACACTTGGCTGATCACTATCTGCAAAAGGGGAAAAAAGGGGGAGAAGTCTCACAGACTCAGTGATCATCGACTCTGTGAGTAGGGCATAGATGGGAAATAAGCATAAGGCAAGGAAGTTGAATAATAAAACCGTAATAATCAAATCATGATCTTAAGTGACCAAATCATTAATAGGACATTTGTGCCTTGTAAAAATAATGATGTAAATCATAATACAATATTTGACTTGGCAA